CATTTTTTCCCAGGTTTCTCGTAACAGTCGAGAAAGTTCGACACACCAATGCACATCCTGGGATCTGATCTCAAATCCGTGGCCATTTTTCGGCTGCAATCTTTGTGAATGGTTTCAGCACAGCCTTCAAAGATATCACCTTTATCTGGAAATTAATTGGGCAGAATCTTTGTGTTTTTTGTTGTTGTTGTTGTTGTTGTTGTTGTTGTTGTTGTTGTTTTAATCTGGGGGAATGCACAAGATGCAACTCAAGGACAGGAGATAAGCGATTCGAAAAGTTTATTTCTACGGGATTGTCAGTGAAAATAGTTATAAGTTTTTCTTTCACAGTTTTATGTGAAGCATCTAATTTAGTGTTGTGCTCATTTTGGAAGCATTTTGTATATTCGGCATGTTGTATATATCACTGTTGTTAACAGTGATATATATTGTTTGTAATTAAATTGGTAAGAAATAAAGGGTCACATTTTATCTTTTCGCCATCCCTCCTCATAGACGTTTATATAAGAGCTATTAATCCAGGGGCGGATCCAGGATTTTCCTCAGGGAGGCCGGGTTGTGGGCCTCTCTGGAGGGGGTGCACCCCACAAAAATCATTACCATGAAGATATAAAGGAAGATCTCAGGAGAGGGTGCGCATCCCCCGCACCCACCAGCTGGATCCACCTCTGTAATCATATGAGGAAGTAGCTGATCCCGTTAAAGAATTTAGCGCTAAGTAAATATATAATAGAGCGGATTTCGTATGAGTGGGAAACGGACGGTACTGTACTGTGACTGTAATCGTACTGTAACCACATTCTAGTGTCTCATTGGTTCACAAAAATTGTGCAGGCCAGGTCCGGTAACTGTGCGGTAATCGTGCGGTAACGGTGTCCTGCTCATACGAAATCCGCTCTATCAAGGAGGCAAGATTTGCAGTTACTCTCGAGTTTTGGAAACTCGGAGTAATAGCAAATCCTGTCTCATCGTTATTATTATAATAGCTATTGTAAATTGACATACATACCAGCACTAAGTTTGAGTACTTTTTCAAACTCTTTTCTGTACTTCTTGTGTGCTGAAAAGGAAATAAATGAATAAATCAATTAAATGGGAAGATTCGAAAAATATATATATGTCATGTTGCTTGTAAGACGAAACCAATCGATCGATCAATATATACATGCATCATTTTTGATCATTCAACGAAACATTTTTCTTTGGGCGATTGATATCCGTCTATCTTAGCCACTCATCCAGCCAAATGATTTTAAGAATCAATAGGCCAACTAACTAATGAGCTCTCATTCAGGATAGGCCAATCTTTCTAGCAAAAAATAAAATAAAACACTAGCAGCACAATATTTCTTTATTGTTTTGTCATGTGACAACCGAATAAAGGGAAGACTCCTGTGAATCAATCAACCAATCAAAAAGCTTAAAACGTTAAAAAAACTTACCATTGACAACGCTCGTGAGGCCATCAATATTATGGTTCTTGCAAACCAACAGCTCTTTGTCCACCCACATGTGTTGTAGAATCATGAATCTGTCCAGATCAATGAACTTTCCTTTGCAGTCTTTAGTCTGAGTAAGGCAGTCACCATATTTCTTCACCAAAAAAAAAGAAAATATATTTATCCCATTCAGTTTAGTTCAAGTGTTGTGAAAGCGCCATGATCTACCGGCATCCCTTTCGAAGGGATTTTGAATGCATATTTGAAGTCACCTCACTTTAACATTTATTTTAACACGGTGAATGCTGGTTCATCGTGGCTCTTCAAACTAAAGGGTTTATTTTTGCAGCTTTTTAAACAGTACTCTATCGGACTCGTGAAGCCCACGTCATCAAAGCTAAGACCGAAAGTGTACATGGGAATCCAGACAAACGTTATGTTGATATTCTAAGTATAATAGTGTCTCTAGTTATTTTTCTTCTCATGCTTCCCTTCTGGCTCATAGATTCGAAATGGTGGGAACTAACGCGGGAAAACTAGTGTGAGATGCGTCGGTGTTTCTAAAAAACAGTTGTGTAAAAAGATTATAAATTTGACATCGTTAAAAAGTAGATGAAATAACTTACTGACGTTTCGGATGTTAATCCTTCGTCTCTCTATTCCGACGAAGGATTAACGTCCGAAACGTCAGTATGTTATGTCACCTACTTTTTCACGGTGTTAAATTTATCTTTTTTCACAACTGTTTAATAGATTCGAAGATTTATTCTTATTGAACCTGAAATATAAAGTGGAGTAACTTAAAAGGAAATATACATTTGGTATAATAGACCTAATCGGCTTACGAGTTGCCATGTACGTTACCAGGCAATTCATATCCAGTGGTAAAAAGAACTTTTGTTTCTAAGAATTCAACTGTGAAATGAAAATATAACGAACAATGAAACTTACTCCCGGATGGTTTGAATTGGGTGGAAAAGTTTATAGCAACGCGTCAGCCGATTAAGTCTATGGTGTAAGTGGTCTTCCATTAGGCAGGCAACAGTGCCATCCGTATTAGACTGTACTCTTGTATTCCCATTTCATAACTTCTTACTTGGTCAAGTTCTCGATCTTGAGTGCTTAAAATATATTTTGTTAATTCAAATTCACCTGGAATGCTGTGCAGTAGTCGCTCATGTCAGTGCTCTGTGGAGAGTTGGTAAATCCTGACATAAACACTTTGTTACATTTGGTGAGCTCACTGTATTCACAGGCTTTGTACTTGCCGTGGGCCTCTGTCATCGTGACCATGGTAGCCACAGCAATGAGGATTGTGGAAAACATGTTATCTATGNCTCTCATTCAGGATAGGCCAATCTTTCTAGCAAAAAATAAAATAAAACACTAGCAGCACAATATTTTCTTTATTGTTTTAACATGTGACAACCGAATAAAGGGAAGACTCCTGTGAATCAATCAACCAATCAAAAAGCTTAAAACGTTCAAAAAAACTTACCATTGACAACGTTCGTGAGGCCATCAATATTATGGTTCTTGCAAACCAACAGCTCTTTGTCCACCCACATGTGTTGTAGGATCATGAATCTGTCCAGATCAATGAACTTTCCTTTGCAGTCTTTAGTCTGAGTAAGGCAGTCACCATATTTCTTCACGAAAAAAAACATATCGCCCATTCAGTTTAGTTCAAGTGTTGTGAAAGTGCCATGATCTAACGGCATCCCTTTCGAGGAAGGGATTTTGAATGAATATTTGAAGTCACCTCACTTTAACATTTATTTTAGTGAATGCTGGTTCACCATGGCCCTTCAAACTAAAGTGTTTATTTTTGCAGCTTTTTTTAATTATTAATATTATTATTACACCGAATGTGTACCTTATTAAAGAGTACTCTATCGGACTCGAGAAGCCTACGTCATCAAAGCTAAGACCGAAAGTGTACATTATCTTTTTTCACAACTGTTTAATAGATTCGAAGATTTATTTTTATTGAACCTGAAATATAAAGTGGAGTAACTAAAAGGAAATATACATTTGGTACAATAGACCTAATCGGCTTACGCGTTACCATGTACGTTACCACGCAATTCAAATCCTTTGGTAAAAAGAACTTTTGTTTCTAAGAATTCAACTGTGAAATGAAAATTTAACGAACAATGAAACTTACTGCCGGATGGTTTGAATTGGGTGGAAAAGTTTATAGCAACGCGTTAGCCGATTAAGTCTATGGTGTAAGTGGTCTTCCATTAGGCAGGCAACAGTGCCATCCTTAGACTGTACTCCTGTATTCCCATTTCATAACTTGTTACTCGGTCAAGTTCTCGATCTTGAGTGCCTAAAAATGAATTTTTTTAGTTCAAATTCACCTGGAATGCTGTGCAGTAGTCACTCATGTCAGTGCTCTGTGGAGAGTTGGTAAATCCTGACATAAACACTTTGTTACATTTRGTGAGCTCACTGTATTCACAGGCTTTGTACTTGCCGTGGGCCTCTGTCATCGTGACCATGGTAGCCACAGCAATGAGGATTGTGGAAAACATGTTATCTATGAAAAAATATATATACAAGAACAACTTTCTTGCTAAGTAATAACTGCGATAAAAATCCTGCTTAAAAAAACGTTTTCAGCTTCCAAATGAAAACTACGACCGAWAGGGGGCATGGAAAAGCAAATATTCCGAATACAACATCGTTTCGATGTCAAAAGATCAATTTCCTGCACTGAGTAACATGGCATTTTTTACGAGTAATGCTGTCATGCCGCTTTTAAAAATGATTAGGCAAATATAATTTGAATTTCTGATATTTCAGAAGCTTTCAGAATAAGCTTTTTGCAACGCGGCTATAGTATCCGTACCCATTTCCACACTATGAAGAACAGTATGACAAGACAAGCTTGTAGATATGCCATGAATACCGTGAATTTATTGAAAGTTTGAAGTAATTTTTCTTTGAAAAATTGCTTTCGACTAAATGCCGATTGAAATTTAAAATGACAATATTTCCTCGCAATTGATTCCAATTTAATTACAAATTGTTGTCCCTTAAGCTAGAACTGTTTGCAGTTTGTAATATTCTTAGATATAACTCATTTTCTTTCTTCTTATTTGCTGAGGACAAGAATCTCATGACTACTTTGGACTTAAAACTCGGTGCATTTTTAAAAACATAGTTATTGGTCAATACTTTAATGTAGAAACAGCCATACCTTTTTCAATCCCTTTGGTTTCTTTACTTTTATGTCTTGTAAATTAGAGGGAAAGCTATATACCTGAATCCTCAAAACTGACAATCAGTCGGCAACTAGCTAAACAAACCAAAAWACGCTAGTCGAGTAGGAGGATAATTAAACCAAAGTAAACAAAATACAGAACTTAGTCTACATTGATACAAGATGTTGCAYCAGTGCTTGAATATAATAGGTGGAAGAATTTATTTTATTTGCCGAAAGTTATATGCGAGTTCAAGTGTATTCCATTTAGCATCTATGTGTGAACGAACCGGAGTGTACAGTACGGGGAATTGTGTTGAGGTTCCTTTTCAACACCACTGTATACACCTACTTGCAGAAACGTTGTCATAGAAAATAGAACATTTGAATTTAGTAAAAATGAATAAATTATAACAAAACAAAAGAAAGCGTTCAGCCTCAGTGATCTTCTTTTGTCTTTTTAATTTATTCCTTTTTACTAAAATACAAATGTCCTATTTATTTATGACAACGTTTTCGCAAGTAGGTGTATGTTTTTTTTTTCATTGTTTTTAGTCCTCATGCAAGTCCATAAAAAGCGCGCAAAATTATGCGAAACTATATCAGTGCACAATGTAGCCCTTTTTTTAATTAGGTATTATTCAGTTTCATGCATTTTTGAAGGCGAAGTTTTGTTGACGTAGAAACGAAATTTTGAATTTTTTTGTGCTAGTCAAACATCCTAAAAAGATGGCCGTTAATTCAGTAAAAAAAAAGAAAATGAAGTCATTGTTCAGCAAGCAATTACAATTAGGATCAATAGAAAGATACATGATGCCCTTCCTTATCCGAATTCGACAAAATCTGCTTATTTTTTTTCTAACCCAGTTTAATTTATCCCGAAAGAGAGAGGTTATGTGTTCTAAAAGGCCAACATAATAACAAACGTGAGCTGTTTAGAGAGCCTTCTACCGTTAGAAGACGCATAAAATTTGTCGATCGGCATCGTACATGCGAAAGCAAATCGAAGGTGCAATATTTCAATTCAGCTTCAATTTTCTTCTTTCTGCGATTTAGGCATTCTGAATCGACAAGCTAATTAAAACACTTTACACTTGCCAGCTGCATTGTGAAAAAGAACAACATATACGTATTAACCGCCATTTTTAAGTAATTAGATTTCTGCTTCCGATTCTTTTTATGACAATTGGTCGTCACTTCATTAACTGTTTCTTATACCCCACTTACCCAGCGCCTCATGCCAATAGCTTGTTATATGCAACCAACATTTGACTCGTGCGGAACAAACAAAACAGCAATGACCGCACTAGCCCACATAAGAACGATTTAACAAATTGCAAACGGTTTTGGGTTGTAAGTCGACGTCTTATTGACACACTCTTGGCGTCGCAAAATATTCAAAATTCAAGTGGACCCACGAACACATCGACGACATTTTCTTTTAATGTGAACCGACATAAAGGCAATTAATACTTTTTTTTTCCTTTTTCTTTCTTTTTTTTTTTTTTTTTTTATTTTTTTTTTTTTTTTTTCTTTTTGCACAATTTCCGTTTAGGATACCACAAACCAGGTGGATCGTGAAAAACCGCGCGCCAAACTTATCAGAGTTCGCAGCTCAATCCTGATAACGTAATATACTATTTACTATTTTTTGTAATTACTATTTTTTTGTAAATTGTATAGCTTGTTTCTTTAATTATTTTTGAATTCTCAATTCAGAAGAAAAATATTCGCAGAAAAGATTCATGAAGAAAAAAAAACTAACAGAAAAAAAAAATCAAAACTGACTCGTTGTCTCAGCTGTTCAAAGATACTGTGATATAAAACGGAATTCAGCACAAACAATCGTAAATGTGACGCACATTGTCACAACAATATAAACGCTTTAGGTTTTTCAAGCTAATTGGCAAATTATTGAATAAAACTTCCGCGAAAAGAGCCTTCATCAAATGTGATTTAATTATAAACTGGCGTTCATAGTCAGTTATCTTGATATAAAATTTGATGATTGGCTTTTCAATATAGGAGTTGGTCATCTGTNTTTTAATCAACTATTATTCAGTTTCATGCATTTTTGAAGGCGAAGTTTTGTTGACGTAGAAACGAAATTTTGAATTTTTTTGTGCTAGTCAAACATCCTAAAAAGATGGCCGTTAATTCAGTAAAAAAAAAAAGAAAATGAAGTCATTGTTCAGCAAGCAATTAGAATTAGGATCAATAGAAAGATACTATTACGACTTCAACACGGACAAAGTGTGTAATTCATTGTTATCGCTTTGAAAATTCTTTATCGACGTAAAAAAGGCTGTTAAGATGCTCTTATTGTTTCAAATACGAATAAAGACAGCTCTGGAATTCATGTTATCCTAGATTACAATCACAGTTCTCGTGAAAAACACCAAACACGAACATGGAACATGTATCACACTTCAAAACAAAATGGCGATCGGCCAAACAACAAATACCTCGCATACCATCAAATCGCTTCGAACGCCTCTACAAAAGCTTAAAATCAATATAATCATGTGTTGTATTCACAAAAACAACATTTTTTCTTGGTAGAATTCATTCTATATATGGAAAACATTACTTAGAAACTTATAATTTATTCTAAACCCGAGTGAACTCGGGTTTAGAATAAATTACACACTTTGTCCGTCATGAAGTCGTCATATGATGCACTTCCTTATCCGAATTCGACAAAATCTGCTTATTTTTTTTCGAACCCAGTTTAATTTATCCCAAAAGAGAGAGGTTCTGTGTTCTAAAAGGCCAACATAATAACACAAGTGAGCTGTTTAGAAAGCCTTCTACCGTTAGAAGACGCATAAAATTTGTCGATCGGCATCGTGCATGTGAAAGCAAATCATCGAAGGTGCAATATTTCAATTCAGCTTCAATTTTCTTCTCTCTGCGATTTACATTCTGAATCGACAAACTAATTAAAACACTTTACACTTGCCAGCTGCATTATGAAAAAGAACAACATATACGTAACCGCCATTTTTAAGATATTATTATATTATTATTATTAGATTTCTGCTTCCGATTCTTTTTATCGGACAATTTGTCGTCACTTCATTAACTGTTTCTTGTTACCCCACTTACCCAGCCTGGCAATACAACCAATATTTGACTCGTGCGGAACAAACAAAACAGCAATGACCGCACTAGCCCACATAAGAACGATTTAACAAATTGCAAACGGTTTTGGGTTGTAAGTCGACGTCTTATTGACACACTCTTGGCGTCGCAAAATATTCAAAATTCAAGTGGACCCACGAACACATCGACGACATTTTCTTTTAATGTGAACCGACATAAAGGCAATTAATACTTTTTT